ACTTCAGAGCAATTTTAATATAAAAATTATAATTTTTTCTAGAATATTTATAATCAATATTAATATTAATTTTCTGTTTAATTCATTTTTTCAAAAAGTAAAATTTGAATAGACGTAGAAGCTTTTTATTTAAAAACCACCTAGCAGCATACATGATTTACATGAAGAAATAAATATTTGTTCCAATAGAATTTTCAATAATGCTACAGTCAGAAACTTGATTACTATTAAATGCCACCATTTTCTGTTCATATCTGTCATAAATAATTTCCACTTCTGAAGAGGCATAACGAAATTAATTCATAATGCAGATAGAAATATTTATTAAGCTGAAGAAAAATGGAAAAGAGAAAAACATCCTGCAAATTTAAAAGTAAGAAAATTTTTTCCTCGGGTTTCACTCAGTATTTAAAATCAATCAGATTACACATACAAACATAGTTTCGTGATAGTTGCAGTCACATCTAATTACATTTATCTTCTATACTGACTTTCAGTAAATAACTGAAGCAATTAAGAAATTAAAAAAATTAACATTGACATGAGTGTGGCATTTTAAAGGGTTGTCAAAAATTTTAAAAGCTTAAATGGCATATATTTAATATTTGTCAGATCATCTGAAAATTTCTTCTGAGTGTGGTAAAGGTATTACAATATATTTTTATGTAAAAAAATTGAAAATCAGTAATTTCATCAGTTTTGGATGCTAAGTCCCCTTAAACCTTTCTTCAAATTTTTGTTACAATAATTTTAATTAGTTTAAGGGAAATGTATTTGCAGACTGTATGAAATTTCATTGAGGGCTACATGCAGCTCGCAGGCTATTATTATATCAGCTTTCATGCGTATAGGAAGATACTATCCTTTTATAATGTTAACTGAGAATTTTATCTTTGCTGTGTTAAATCTCTCAGCTTCATTCACAAGAACCTTTGATCTTATAGCAAGGTCTTACTAAAGCTGCATGATGCACACTGTCTAGTAGCATTTTTAGAACCGAGTCCAAGTTCATCTGGTACATGTACAAGTATGGGGTAGACCAGCAATGAACCATGGGACAACAGGTAAATGCTTTCCCATACCACCCCTTCCCCCTCAAAAAAATTGCAAGCTTAGTAAGAGTTCACAAAGGAAAGCCGAATGTAAATTCATTTAAGGATCCCAAGAAAAAGGTGTGAAAAACGCAAGGTGAGGGTAGAAAGTCATTGTTCAAAGTGCCTGAGTTAATCATTTTCTGCATTTTTAAAAATGTAGGGCAAGTTACTAATACATATGTTGCAAAAAGAGGGCCTGCAAACTTCGGAATATAAGCAAGAGTTTGGTACATGTAAATTTATTCACTTTTAATTAGTATTGTTTTCTGACATTTATGATGTGTCTAGATAACACTTAGTGTGTAGATTTTTTTGCAATTCATCTATATTTTAGGTGGAATATTTTATGTGATATTTGTTTACTATTTATTATAAACTTGAATGAATCTTTTCCTCACTCTTATAATAACTATAGACATGGAATGTGCATAAGTTTACTGCCATGAGATAAATACTTCAAACAGATGAAAGATCTGAAAGTAAGAAAATGAAGAATTAAATGTAATTTTAAATTTGAGAATAAATTGAAATTAATTTAGCATACAGTTTTCAGTTTGAGTGTATGGAAATTATTTAATACTGAAATCTGCAATACTTCTAAAGTTCATATTTTCATAAAATTTTTTAAACAGTTTTCCTTGAAATTTTTAGATTGCATTTGAAAGAAGAATGTTGATTCCATTAATTTTGTTAGTGGAAAAAATATCTATTCTGGGATAATTTCAAGAGAACCTTTAATTTTATCATTACCAAATTCAATTTTTAAGGATGCTGTTTGAAAATAACAGAATTATTTATTTTAATTCTTGTCAATAACTTTTTCTTATTTTTTAATGTTACTGTTCTTTTCTAAGCATTTAAATTTTCATAAATCATATTTGACATTCATAGAAATAAAATTTAAACTAAAAACTAGGTCTCACTGTTAGATTTTTCTTTTTAAAGATATTGAAGAGGGTAATTCATAAGAGTAAAAAATGTTGTAAATCTAATTGTTTTCCTGTTTTATTTAATTTTTTTATGTTTTTGGTTCTTCATATTTTGCACTGAGAGAGTTTTGTGACTGAGGGGAAATTTCATTGCTGTCCCTAAATTTATTAGTTAGGATGGAACTAGGTGGATAATTTTTTTATTGATAATTTTAATTTGCTGGCAACAAAATAGAAATTAAAGAAAAACAAGAAATGAATATTAACAGTTGGTATATATATATATATATATATATAAAGGAAATACGTGTTTGTAAAGAAAATATAAAATAATTTTATTAGGAAACTTTATTTTCCTCCCGAGCACTGAAATTTTATGTTTTCCCCCTTATTGTGGAATTTCCATTGAATCTGAAAAACTATGTAAAATAGAAAAAGCATATTTTTAAATGTATTGGTTGTTTCTATAAAAGTTCAGTTGTTCTTAATAATACTTGTAATTAAATAGTCTGTAAATTTTTAAGCATACTGATGTATTTTAATTTTGTGATTTTTATTATTTAATTTAAAATTTTATGTGAAATGTCCAGTTTGTTTCTTCTATTTAGTTTTTAATTCTGATATTAACTTTTTGCTAGTTTTTCATTTTTCAGTGCTTATATGTCATCGTAACCACCTTAGCAGAAGTCACCAAATTTTCAGAATGTTCTAAGCTCTGAGAACCATGCACTTTTTTCAGTCATCCATACTAAAAATAATCCTTCAGTCAAGCAACTTCACTATTTTCATGTGTGTTCTTTTGTTGCATTCCAAGTTTCAACCAGTTATTCCAACCATTAAGTGAGAATTTGCTCTGCTAAACTTCAATAATTTTTTCAACTCGCTTGCACGCTCAACTGCATAGCAAAATTCTTACTATACAGAAATGCTTTTTACACAGTCTTACTTAAGGCAGTGGATTGTAAAAAAATCCTAAGCAACTGTCACCACAAAGTAGAAATTAAAATTATCTCCAGCTAACTGCCAGGCAGTGTACCGAAAATTCCTCATGTTGAATCACTAGCTGCTCTGTGGTCACTGCAGGTAGCTTGTGGCAGCTACAGAGCAGTTACTGACTAAGGCTCACTGTTGGTTGATTGCTTTGATGCACTGTAATGATGAGTCACATGGAATATGGGTGCCCAACCCATGACTGAACTCCTGCCATGTTTCACTCTCAACAGCAAACAGTATCTATCATACGCTTGGGATGGCATTCCCCAGATGTAAACTTCCCCAGAAGTCGCAAACAGTGTGAAGCACGATTCATCTAACCAAATGACAGTCTTCCATTGCTCTACAGTCCAGGTTTTATGACTTTGGTATCACTTTCTCTTCTTACAGCCATTTTGATCGCTGATGAGTGACTTTTGAAGTGCAGCTTGCCCAAAATACCCTGCTTGTGGAGCTCCCTTCATATTGTTTTGGTGCTAACAGGGTTTGCAAGTGTGACATTCAGTTTAGCAGACACTTTTGAAGTTGTAATCCCCTTCAGTGATTGTATGTCATGATCACTTAACACACATTTTCATCTGCACTGTAATTTAGTGTATGCAGCTTTTCTGGTTTTCCTGTATGAGTTAAAAATCTTACATACTGCACCTCTTGAATGTAAATTTAAAACACTTCAGCTACCTTGCTTGTGAAAGCACCCACCATATGTGCCCCAACAATTTGTCCATGTTCGAATTCATTTAGCTGTGATGGGATGCACTCACAACTACATAGAACACTGTCTCAATAATAAATGACACTTGCTAACTATTGAGGATGGTGGCATTAGTGAGCAAAAATATTATTGCCACCAACAGCATTTTCAAGAATAAACATTTCATTTCAAGCATGCATTTTGCGAGGTGTTTCCATATTAAAATTCTATGCAATCCAACCTCTGTGTAAGTACCCATTATTTCTTTCTCTTCCTTAACCAGTCTTTGTAATATCATTCATATTTCGTTTTTCATAGTGCTAGTAGCAATAAAAAAATAAAAATTTTATGATAAGAATTAAGAGGTCGTATGATCTTGCAAATTCCATAACTTTAAGCAAAAGCTACTGAATAGTGATGATGCATTTGCTCTATTATTGTCTTGAGGTTTGGATTTAGTGGATGATGGCACAGTTCAGTAGGGCTATATGCTTAACATGGGGAGATGGCTTTGTGAGGATTGTCTTAGGAAAGTTAAATTCTTTTTATATTAGACATGGAAAAAATGTTCCTTGAGGGAAATATATATTGTAATCAGCTATTGTGTTGAGAAATATTTCTTGTATTTATTGCTGTTATCTTAAATTAATCAGTTATAAAATCATTTTTTCACTGCTAAAAGTCCTAATGTATATTTTCTGATTTATTCAACAGAGGTATCATGCAATAGAATTTTAGCCTTTTCCCTTAAATCAACTAGCACTATATCTTAAGGTAATCATAAATTGAAATGCATTTAACCGAGGATTATTTTAGACCAATCTGATATTATTTTTATTATGATATTTTTAAAGAAGACCTCATAAATTAAGATTCTGCTATAAAAATCCTATGACTTGAAATAATAAAATTATGCCTAAATTTTACAGTTTCTCATTTTCTAATTTTTGTGAAGTTACTTAAACTCATGTCAAAATTTTTAAAATAGATATTTGTAAAATTCAAATTAAAAGTGTACATAGTAAACTTATTACTGTCTAAAAGCTTATCTTCCTGTCCAGTGTATTTGGGTATTTTATAAATCTTAAACTGTATAACTGCCATGCTGCATATTTTCTGTAAAAGTGTGTATACTGTATATACATCTGTACATTTGCTATACTTAGATGAGTAATATGCATACATTTTAAAAACGTAATAGTATGTAAGGTAATACATAGTCTTAACTAATTTATCTTTTTTTAACTGAAAAATAGTAATAATATTTTCCTTATTTCAATTTTTAAATAGATGCCATATGACAGCAAATTAAATAGTGGAGCAACATGGCAAGCAACAGAGGTCCATCAACAAGGTGGAACAAGCTTAAAGGATACATTCTGGCGAGATTTCGATGAAGGTAAAATTGATGTTTCTGACAAAGATATGTACAGTAAAGTCAAAGAAAGAGCAGCTAGGACAATATCTCTTAATGAAAATGGGAAAAGTTCTGAACTTGCACAAAAAGAAAACCCATCTCCACCCCTGTGCCCAAAAGTGGTATTGAAAAGAAAACCTTGTAACAGGACTTCTCAAGAGAGCTTAACATATAAATCATCATTAAAAGTTAAGTCAGTGAGCATGCACATTAAAAAGCGCAAGAAATATGATGTGCTCAGAGATTATAGAAAACGTAAGAGTAGAATCCACAGAAAGAGAAATTTTGATGAAAACGCCAGATGTGGGTCAAGTTTTCGAAGTCATGATAAAGCTGACAACTTTAGCAATATGGATTGTGTTCAAAGTAGTTCAAATATATTGCAAGAACTTCTTATAAATGAAGAACTGAAGGGCTCTGTTCTTTCTGATTATGTTTCAAATTCTGGTGCTTCAAAATCTGAATCTGACAAAGCCATATCTTCAGTGCCAAAAAATAAAGACTTGATTAAAAAGCTAAAAACCTCTGGCTGTGATGAAACAATAAAGATAGAAATGAGGAAGAATCAACCATTAATGTACAGAATTACAATTCATGATAAAACAAAGGTATGAATTATATTTTTAATAAGTTTCTCATGTATCTTTTTTTTTTAACGATTAGCCGTAGGACATTGATATTTTGTATATGAGAACTGTTGTAACATATATTTATTCAATATTTTTCTTTATTGTGGTCGGCAGAACCAAACATATATAGACACATGCACATATATGTATGTACACATCTTTACCTGGCTTAAAAGATCTTACCCAGCCTTTATTTTCACAGTTGTTGGTCGTAGTCATATACTACCAGTTACAGAAATGTTTTAAATGATGAAAATACTCATGTTTTGGTGCTGCCAAATTAAAAAATTAATTTTTGACAAATTAAAAAATTTAACTTTTAATGCAGTCTCCCCATTCCTGTACTAATATTTGGTAAAGTGTTATACTCATTATGAAAAAATAAAATTAGAAAAGTTTGACTCCCATACAACAAAAACTAATGAGGATATTTAATTTCGAAATTTACGAGTTCTGATGTAATTTTCAATTTGCCTTGAGAGACTGGTGAATTAAGTTTAGTATAATTTGAGGAAATAAGTTAAAATGAAGTGCAGCAAACAATGTCTATAATTTGAAAAAAAAAGTTGTGTGGTGTCCACATCACATTTATTTCTCCTAATTGTCTAACGAAAAAAGAAAGTCTAATCATCTACTTTTAACAAGTTGCCACCCAGATGGAAAAGTGGTTAGTGACTCTGACTACCATACCAAAAGGACTGGGTTCGAATTTCAGAGAAAGCATGGATGTAAATTGTCTGGCCTTTCATTAGAGGTAATGGTAGCCACCTATTAGGTACCTGCATACTAAATTGACCACTGCTTCGGGCATTAGTAATGGGCAAAGCCTAAAATGGCTTGTGCCTACCATAAAAAAGAAAGAAAAACTTTTAACAAATTTTTCTTTCCTTTTTTTGGAGGGGGTGTTGTCAATTTTTTGCCTTATTACATATTATTTTACTTTTTAAATTCTGTTTAGCCATCTTTAATTTTTGGCACATTATTATTGTTACCAAAAAAAACTTCCCTTAGTGGACATTCATGGAAGCTTTTGCCCATTATTAGGGAGTGTCTGTCAAATGGGAGTGTAATAGTCTCTCATTTCAAGAAGCTTGGAATTCAAAAACTATCCAATGAAGATTGCATTTCCTAAAGTATATTTTACATTAATGGAGTTCCAGCTTTATATCTATTCATTTTCTTATTTATCAGTTTATATTTTTGTTTTCCTTAACTAATGCCATTAATTTATGGCTGTAATTTGTAATATATTTTATACACCCAAATCCTTTACAAATTAAACTTTTCATGCCTTTGAAGGATTTATGAACACTCTTTTAATACTTCCTTGCTGTATAATAATTACTTTTATTTTCATTTTCCAGGCTATTTATTCTCCTCTTAAGCAAGGATCTAAAACCAGTTCAGAAACTCCTGGCTTCAAAAGCTCAAAATTCCAAATGGAAATTGCTGTTAAAAAGTTATTTTCTGTCCTCCTTGATGCAATTGTAAATAATCAATTAGAAAAAGTTGAGAGACTCTGCACCAATTCACATGTTGTCAATTGCTCTCAAGAAGATGGTATGACAGCCCTCATGGTTGCAGCACAGTTGGTTTGTATAAACTATTATTTTTGTATTTTAATTTTTAAAATGTATTTCTGCTTCTATTTTATCTCTGTAAATTAAGCCCTATATGCAGATATTTAAGAAATTAATATAGAATGAAAGCAGTTTTTAAAACCGAAGATTTCTCATTTTTAAAAATGTTTTCTGATTTAATTTTAGATTTGTGTCTTTTAAATTCTGTATTTATGAAATGAATAATGATTGTCTTTCTATTTAAAATTTTGTTGTAATCATTTTAGGGGCTGTATAATGCTGCTAAGATTCTCCTTAAAGCCAATGCACATAAAGATAAACAGAACAGGAAAGGGGAAACTGCGTTGATGTTGGTAAGGATAATTAAGTCATATTCTTCGAATGCACTATTAATCTCGAATGCACTATTAATCTCGTTTGTTGCTTCGGTGAGAGGATAAAATACTTTTGTGAACTTTTAATCTTAGTTCTCTTATTTGATTATTATTTTCATCCTGTTTATTTGCCTATAGCATGCTTATTTTACAAGATTTCCAGGTATTTAAGCTTGAAATGTTAAGAGAGTTTTGGTTATCGTATACTATTCTGTATATTTATCGCTGCCATTGTTTTAAATCTGTTAATTAAAATTTTGCTAGTATAAAGCTAATTGAGTGATAAAGATAATTAGTTAAATTTTTCCATATTTAAGAAACAGATGAAACTGATTTTGTTAATGTTGGCTGTTTAAAAAATATAAGGTCCTTGCCAAAAAAAAAAAAAAGAGAGAGAAGCATTAATTATAGTAGGATCATGTTCTTTTAAAAAAAGGTTTTAAGAAAACTACCGTAATTTCGGGTAGATAAGCCACGGCTTATACGTGTTAAAAAGTTGAAAATTTAGGTTGGCGGCGTATCTAAGGAAATTTTATTTTTCTTCTGTCCTTAAAACTTCGCTAATTCAGATTGTAAGTAACTCAGAAGCGAGGCAGTAAGAATTCGCTGCAATATTCTAACCTCAGATTGCGCTAAGGCAGTGCAATGAATCCAAACTCCCCTAAGGTAGGTGGCGCTCTCTGTAAAGACAGTGTAATGCATGTACTTCCTCCTAAACTCCATGGTTTTTCCCGCATTTTCCTATGACTTTTTGTTTTACTGGCAATAGCTACGTTTACTTGCCAAGTGCTGTGTTCATTCATACACGTTTTTACTGCTTTGTAGCTTGCTTTTTGTTTGCCTTATCATTTGCACTTTAAAAATATTATTATTGTTATGGCTCCTACTCAAAGAAAAAGTTATATGGCTGCTTTTAAGCTCTTGGCATTGAAGAAAGCCATCAAAATTGGAAATCGCGCTGCAGCTAAAAAATTTCAACTTGACAAGTGATGCATTTGGCAGTGGAAGTCTGAACAAGAAGAATTAGAAAATGCCTAAGAATAAAAGATCTCGTCGAATTGGTGTCATAGCTTGGCCTGTTTTGGAAGACAATTTAGAGAAATGGACAATAGAGCAGAGAGAAAGTGGATTATCAGTATCAACAGTTAGAATTCGCCTTCAAGCAAAGATAATTGCTCAACAAATAGGCATTAAAAATTTTGTTGGAGGACCTAATTAGTGTTTCAGGTTCATGAAGCGAAGAATTATTAGAAGATGATTACATGAAGCGAAGAAGAAATTATCTGTCTGGACCAAAACAGCAGTTGGACAAAAGCTTCCAGTGGACTGGCTTGAAAAAAGATAGTTTTTTTTAGTACACATCTAAGAAAATTAAAGAACAAAATTTGAAAAGATGGCGAATAATTAATATGGACGAAGTGCCCATTACTTTTGACTGTCCTCCAAGCAGAACTGTTCATTCAATAGGGGGAAAAACTATTTCAGTGTTAACAACCGGGGTGAAAAGACTTCTTTTACTTGTGTTTTGGGTTGTGCCGCCAATTAGAGAAAAGTTAACCCCTTGATAATTTTTAAAGGAAAAACAATTCCAAAAGGAAACTTCCCAAAAGGAGTTATTATTTGTGCCAACGGAAATAGATGAATGTGCGAAGAAGTGATGTTGTTTTGGCTGAGAGAAATTTATCGGAAAAAGAAAGGTGCTTTTTCCAACTCCGAGGACTCATTGTACCTGGATTCAATGCAATCCCATTTAGCGGATACAGTAAGATCTGAAGTAAAAAAACTTAGCACCAATGTCTCAGTGATACCAGGTGGGCTTACAAAGATTTTACAGCCGCTAGATCTCACTATCAATAGAACTTTCAAGCACGAACTATGAAAGCAGTGGGAGGAATGATTGCAAAGTGGACTCCATTCCTTCACAAATTCCAGATGAATGAGAAAAGCTTCATATGAGGAGGCTGCCTTATGGGTCGATAAAGCATGGCAATCAGTCGAAGCTGATACGATCGTATCGGTTTTCATTAAATCAGAAATCTTTGAAAAAGAAAATGAAAATGAAGATAGTGATGTTGAAAGAAGTGGATTTAGAACAGAATAATAAAACTGACCTTGATGGTCATTTGTTAAATTTATTTAAATCAGATATCGAAGAGTCTTTTGAAGGTTTTGTATAAATAAATATAGTTTAATTAGAAAATTCTGTTTGTTTATCTAATTTACATATTCCTTTTCATAATGTGGTAATTTATGCTGATAAACAGAGTTTACCGAAAACGTAAAAATAATATATTAGAAATCATCAGAGTTCGTTTTCGGGAAGTTCAAGGTATGATATTTTTTCTTTATTTATATATTACTGATTATATTTATGTTGTAAATGTTATCATACATGATTACACCAATATGGCAGGGAATTACTAAATGAATGAATATTAATTGCCATGCTTCGAAATGCTTAGCTGTGGCGTATACAGCGGTGTGGCTTATCCGATGACCTTTTATTTTTTTTTTCAGTCAATTATCATGTGTGCAGCATATATGCCAGGGCGGCTTATCAACTCTAAATTATGGTAATTCATTTTTTTTATTCCTTTGCAGGCTTGTAAAAATAGACATCCTAAAATTGCCAAACTTTTACTTGAACATGGTGCCAATTTTGCTTTAACAACTGCTGATGGTATCACTGTTCACCGTATAGCAAATCAATATGCCAGTGAAACTGTCCTCCAAAGTATTTTAGTCCAGCATATCATGAGGTATATTTATTTTGATACTTAATGTGTAATAAATATTATTTTGAACATTATGAATATTTAATATAATTTGTAGTAAAATTAGAAAACATTTGATGTAAGAATAGGCAGTTCTTTTATTGATACTTGTGGTCAGCACAAGTAGTAATCAATAGTAAATAATTACAAAAAGTATATTATTAATTGCTTCTGTTGAATATAATCTAGCAGCGGCTTGGTAGCTTAAAGCATGAAACATTGCATTTAGAACCTGATTCAGTTCTCAACTTTCACAGTTGAGAGGCCTGCTACATCTTTTTTCATAATTTTTCATATGTAACATAAGCATGAATTAGTTCTCTTAAACCATGACAAAGACATTCATTTTTCTAAGCATACTTGCTCTGAATATTCTGCTACAGTAAGCATCTTACTTGCATACCAAAGGAGCAGTGTGTCAAGCTGACATCACTTTCTAATGCCTCAACCATTTTTACTTCAAGCCATTCATCTATTAATCAAAAGTAAGGCAGGAAATATACACATGGTAATTATTTTTGATTGCTTGGAATTGTAAAAGATTTGATCTATTGTATTTGAAAAAATGTTCTGTATATGTAAAAATCAATAAGTTAATTATAAATAAAAACATAAAATTTGAAAGTTGTATTTTTGAAAAGATATTTTTTTTTTATTTATTCTTTACTCTTTGTCATAAGAAAAGAACACTGAGCCCATATTTTACAAAAGCCATTTATTTCATAAACTATTTACCATTCTTTAAAAACTATTTATTTTAAAATTATCTGTTATTAAAGTTTTACCTGATATATACCTAAAATCATAATGTTATTTTAAATAAAATTTATCATATCTTAGTTAGCTTACATTAAAAAAATATTATTTTGAGTGTTTATTGTATTTTTTTCCATCAGGATAATATCAGAATTTGAAACCCAAGCACGCTACACTGTAGAAAATGTTGCTGAAATAAAATATGCTCTGTTTCCAATACAGTGTTTCTCACTCAGTGAAGGACCAAATTATTCTATAAACTTTCATCATCATGTGAAATTAGAATCTCCTGGTATAGTTTTTTTCTTTTTTTTCCTTACATGTTTTAAGATATTAGATAAAACGGTCATATCCAAAATTAAATTTATGTAAAAGAGCATTCATTGAAATATGTAATGTGTAATTAATTGTTTAATAACTTTAATGCTTTCAAAATTCTATTTTACCTCATTTTACTTGTGTCTTTTGTTACTTGTTTAATGTCTGTGCAACAAAATATGTTTTGCATATAGGTCTTTCACAAGTTAAAATTTGTAGTGCATACAAGAAAATCTAGCTGAAAAAAATTTTCTTGATACACGGCAAGTGCTCATAGAAATGTGCCAATATGCTAAACTTCATAAATTGTTTTTAGGAAGATATACCACTTCTAATCCTATCTGAAACTTAAGCTGTTTAGGTATAATGATAAATATTTTTATGGCAAATTTGAAATTTCTGAAACTTTAAATTTGAAGTTTTAATTGTTGATAAAGACCACTTTTAATACATTGATATATGCAATATATTTAGAAAATTTAATGTCATTATTTACTGAAATTCAACTTTGTTAAAATAATTTCAGACATTAATGCAAAAGAATTTTATGAAATTGTTATTACAAATTTAATGACATTACAATTAATTTATACTCTTAGTTCTATAAAATAATAAAATTTATTCAAATAATTGTTAATTCTCAAAATAATATAAGAGAACAGAACATATGCAGCTAAATAATCCATAAAACATATTTAAACTAAGATTTTTAAAATTCTTGTATACTAGAATATAAATTTTGAACTTTAGGATTTGCCATTGTCATGGATATGTCTATGTATTTTTGTCATTTTGTAGGTGAATTTTAAAAAAATTTAGCAGATAATGTAAATATTATTTCTAATGTATTTTAACTCTACATAGTTATTTCTTTTAAAACTGTGTTTCTCATTTCATTTAGAAAAGAAAATCTAATAGATGGTGATTGGTCTAATTAAGTTTTACAATCTTCAAATCTTGTCTATTAAATTACTGGATGTTTGCAGGCTTGGTTGAATCTTCAAAGAATCTACATTACTTTTAAATTCTAGAGTATTGTAAGCTGGTTAAAATTAGTTATAACTTGTATTTAACCATTTAAAAATTTTTTGTAAGTTAATTTGATAATGTATGAAATTCTTATTTGGAAGGATTGAAAGGATGTATTCAGGTATATTAAGTTTACTTTCTTTTCTGTTTTGGTAACACTACAGGCATTTTTAAATAGCATAATATTAACATAAAGAATATACTTTGCTGTTCACTATCCTTTGAAGATGTGTTTGTATTTAGTGCGATCATTTTGAGAAATTTAACTAAAAATAATAATAATAATAATAATGCAATTACATTATATAATTGGTGCTCAGAATGTCTGCAATTTGAGTTGCACTTCCTTCATGTCACTTTGTGTGACATTATTCTAAATATATTAATGCTTGCTTCAATCATCCATGAGGCATGGCAGATTGCCAGTTGTGAGAACTGTTGACACACCATGCATAAGATATCAAACTTATCTCTCAAATTATAATAGTGTATTGCTTGTAATGACTTCCATAAGTTTTTAAAAAGTGACATTTAAACATGGCTGTCTACCAAAGTAGCCAATGTATAGCATTAGAATCATCTTTAGTTAACTATAACTATGTTGCAAAAGTTCATAAAAATTCTCTTTTTATTGTATAATAAGTTATATCAAATTAAATACATTATAATAACAATGTAATATATGTAATTAAAAACTCTGATATACACAGCAAAGCCCGAGATCCGGACATCCAATATCCGGAATGATCTAAAATCTGGACCTCAAAGTCACCACCAACCTTTTTTTTTAAATTTCTTTATTTTGTGTGTGTGCTTTACGCATGTGCATTTGATTCCCCCCTTCCCCATACATGTGGAGAGTTCCGATTCTTAATTTCACTTCAGCGCTAAATAAAACACTTCATTATTGAAGAAACAATCATTTAAGCATAAATTTGTATGATCAATAATTTGGCTTTGTAGCTGCATATCTGCTTGGCAAACATCTCAAATTGAAACATTCTACATAGATATATTGTTAATTTTTACACCTACTAATATTTTATATCCCTGGCGCAAACCTGGCGAATCATTATTTATTATATTTTGCTTTCATCACCATATTAGTAATTGAATAACAAAGAATATGGTAACCTTTTATTACATTACACTTGACGATGATTGCAGATTTAAGTTTAATGTTCTAAGAAATGTTGACAGGAAAAATTTAACAATTTCTTTACATATAGTAAAAGTAAATTTGTTAATGATACTTATAGGCCAAAAGATTTAGTGCCATTCAAATTAAGAATAACTGACTTGTTATTCACATAAACCCAGAACCAGCACCAGAGCTCGTATGGCCGCACCGAGTGGCAAAATTTAGGGAAGACAAATGGAGGTGCTTGGTAGCAAGAATTTAGGACCTGCAGAAAGCCTAAATGCCTGCCTGCAGAAAGTATATGTGGAAATTTATTTATTCAGGACTCGGATAAGCCTTAAGGATATACAAAAAATAGCTGCAAATATAATAAATAACTAAACTAATACAATTTAGGCTTAATTGCCTCAGTCGGCAATAGAAGCAAGATAAAATATAGCGGAACAACTTTAATCGCCAATCCTATGATGCATAGCCAAATATGTATAGTGAGCAATAGCTAAATTTTATGATGATAGTCGTGAGAAGGTTTTTGGATATTGCAAACCAACGGTGAAATTTTCTAGTTAACACATTGTGTAAAGAAATATGGAGAAGCGGTAATAAATGAAAATGATATATCAAAGAAGTCATGTGTCGTTGTGCATTATCCTGTTGAAATATGGCTGTGGGCAAGTCCTGAAAATAAGGAAGGACAACTGGGCTTCAACACCTCATAGATGTAGTGCTGGCTATTTAAAGTACCAGCAATGCATACTAGAAGAGTGCGAGAGTGATATCCAATACTGCCCCATATCATAATACTCGGTACAGGACCAGTGTGGTGGTGCATAATGCAGCTATTCAGCATCCTCTCTCCACAGTGTCTCCAGACTCGAATCCGACCGTCGTGGTGTTGCAGACAGAAGCTTGACTTGTCAATAAAGACAATTTCATTCCATTCTGCCGTCCACATCCTTTTTTCACTGCAACGTTGGTGGTGGAGATGTCTGTGGTTCTGCATCAAGGGTAGACAGAGCAATGGACGTCTTGCGGACAGACCACTCTGCTGTAAACGACATTGAATGGTATGCGCAGACCCTGAATGAAGACCTGAACGAAGACCCTGTAAGCTCGCTGCTCAACACGGGTGACTTCCATCTCGTACGGCACTCACCAATTGACTGATTTCAGAACTCTCGCTACCACAGAGCCAGCTATCACAGAGACGTCTGTTGTTCTGCATACACACTATGCCTGCAGAACTTCCACACAACACATATACGTTTTGTGATCTGTTCACATATCTACAAGAAAAAAATAGTTGCCGTGACTTTTGCCAAAAAACTTCGTATATCTGTATGTGGGCATATAATAGGAAATAACAAAAATTGTTCATTTACTTAATATCTACTGAAAATGTATTTAGCAAAGTTTTAAATCCACCCTGGAGTATCATAATCCATCTTCTATTTTCAATTAGAACTTATAAGATTAAGTGCAGGAGTTCTTTGAAACTGAATGACCCTGAATTCAGTTTCAAAGAAACTGAACAAAGAACAAAGTTCTTTGAAAAGAAAGAACAAAGTTTTTTGAAACTGAATTGAACTGAATGACCCTGAATGATGCGTTACAGACTTAATGTGCTGTGCTATGGTTCATGATGTGACTGAGCGATCTGTCACTGCCATGCACACAATGTTCCTGTCATCACGTGAAGTGGTGCACTGAGGTGGATGCGATCAAACACATCGGTCCGTCGTACCCTCCTACGTCCAACGGTCACATATGCGCGTTACAGTTGTTTGGTTTCGTCCAACACGACTACCGATTTTCCTAAAAGATAATCCACACTCTTGGTAGGCCACTATCCTTCCTCTGTCGAACTCAGATGCTTGATCAAACGATGATCGCTGTTTACTATGAAGCATAACTGATCGTTTTTTTTAACCACAAGAAAAACACAATTGCTGAACTTGAAATTGTTGAAAACTCCAAGCCTTAATTAGCACTTTGAAGTGGTGCCACAGGAGCATGTGATGTGCATCTGCGCTGAAATTCTAATCATTTGCATATCTCACATTCGCTAATGCATGTTGTAAATTTCATGTTATTTGCATGCTTCCTTCAGGGTGTTGCATTTACGGTGGCCAGCAGTGTATATCATCATTGGAAGTAATCAAGAATCACTATTTAAAGAAGCATAGCATGCAGCCTTGTTTTTCAAACACCATATTAGGTGGGGTGAGCCTTAATCACTCTTTACTAGATGAGGAACTGTTAATGTTCTCGAAATTAGTAAGTGGGCTATGTAATTGTTTATAAAAACTATTTTCAAAGAACTCCTGCACTTAATCTTATAAGTTCTAATTGAAAATAGAAGATGGATTATGATACTCCAGGGTGGATTTAAAACTTTGCTAAATACATTTTCAGTAGATATTAAGTAAATGAACAATTTTTGTTATTTCCTATTATATGCCCACATACAGATATACGAAGTTTTTTGGCAAAAGTCATGGCAACTATTTTTTTCTTGTAGATATGTGAACAGATCACAAAACGTATATGTGTTGTGTGGAAGTTCTGCAGGCATAGTGTGTATGCAGAACAACAGACGTCTCTGTGATAGCTGGCTCTGTGGTAGCGAGAGTTCTGAAATCAGTCAATTGGTGAGTGCCGTACGAGATGGAAGTCACCCGTGTTGAGCAGCGAGCTTACATCAAAATAGCCGTTCTCTGAGGGAGAAATGCAATGGAATGTCACAGTGAATTAGTAGAAGCAATTAGGAATAATGCCCTACCATATTGTACAGTAGCACGGTG